TTGGGTCCCTCAATTTTTTTTCCTGAAAGATTTATATGAGGATCTTCGTAATGAGATAAGACAAATTACGTACAATCCCGCTATTTTTTTTCACAAATATTTTTGCATTTACGAGCCAACTTTTACGAACTACTAAAATTTTGTCGTTTTTGTGTGTATTAACCCATGGATCTGGCGCCTTGGGCACCTGAAATATTCTTTTGAAAAAGATGTATGAAAACCTCCGTAATAAGTTGAGGAAGCATTACGTACCCTCCCACCATTTTTTTCATGCATATTTTCGCATTTACGAGCTAACTTTACAAATAACCTGAATTTTCCCATTTTTTGTGTATATTTAGCCCATGGATTTGGTGCCTTTGGAGCACCTGACATGTTTTTCTGAAAAAACTATATGAGGAACTCTGTAATGAGTTGGGGAGGCATTACATACAATCCGACCGTTTTTCAAGCATATTTTCTCATATACGAGCTAACTTTCAGGAATTACCCGTATTTCACCGTTTCTCGTGTAATAGCCCATAGATCTGTCACCTTTAGGGCATCCAAAAATTTTTGTTGAAAAAATTATATGACGAACTCCATAATGAGTTACGAAAACATAACGTATAGTCCAACCATTTTTTTCACGCATATTTTTGCATTTAAAAGTCAACTTTTAGAATTATTGAAATTTCACCATTTTTCGTGTGTATTAGCACATGGATCTGGCGCCTTTGGGGCACCAAAATTATTTTTTCTTAAAGGCCTATTTGAGGATCTCTTTAATGAGTTGGGAAAGTATCATGTACCGTCCTGTCATTTTTTTCATGCATATTTTTGCATTTACCAGCCAACTTTTACGAATTACCCGAATTTTGTCATTTTTCGTGTATATTAGCCCATGGATTTGGTGCCTTGGGCACCTAAATTTTTTAAAAACTATATAAGGACCTCTGTGATAAGTTGGGGAAGCATTACGTATATGCTCTCCATTTTTTACACGGATATTTTTGCATTTACGAGCCAACTTTTACTAATTACTTGATTTTTGTTATTTTTCATGTGCATTAGCCCATTAATCAGGCGCCTTTAGGGTACCCAATTTTTTTTTTCTGAAAAGACTATACGGGGACCTCTATAATGAGTTGAGGAAGAATTACGTACAATCCCACCAATTTTTACCCATATTTTAGCATTTACGAGCCAACATTTACAAATTACCCAAATTTCACCATTTTTTTGTGTGTATTAGCCAGCCCATGGATCTGGCGACTTGGGCACCCAATTTTTTTTCTGAAAAAAACTATACAAGGACCTCCGTAATGAGTTGGGAAGCATAACATACAATTTCCTTATTTTTTTGATGCATATTTTCACATTTACAAGCAAACCTTATGAATTACCCAAATTTCACCATTTTTTTATGTGTATTAACCCATGGATCTAGCCTCTTTGGGGCACCCAAATGTTTTTCTAAAAAACTATATGAGGACCTCTGTAATGAGTTGGGAAGCATTACGTACAGTCCCACAGTTTTTTCATGCATATTTTCGCATTTACGAGCAATCATTTTTGAATTACTCGAATTTCATTGTTTTTCGTGTCTATTAGGCCAAGGATCGGGCGACATTGGGCCACCCAATTTTTTTCTTCTGAAAACCTATATGAGGACCTCCGTAATGAGTTGGGGAAAAATAACATATAGGTTTACCATTTTTTTCACGCATATTTTTGCATTTACGAGCCAACTTTTACGAATTACTTAAATTTCACAATTTTTTGTGTGTATTAACCAATGGATCAAGTGCCTTGGGCACCCAACATGATTTTCTGAAAAAACTATATGAGGACCTCTAATGAGTTGGGGAAGCATTACGTATAATCCCACCCTTTTTTCACGCATATTTTTACATTTACATACCAACTTTTACGAACTACTACAATTTCACAATATTTCATGTGCATTAGACAATGGATTTGACGCCTTTGGGGCACCCTAAAGTTTTTTTGTCAAGAAATATATGAAGACCTCCGAAATGAGTAGGAAGTATTACATACAGTCTCTGTAACACCCCAAAAATTCAAAGTTAAGACTCGAACCATTCTTCATTTACTTGAAGGGTCATATTGGATGATTCTTAAATTGTTCATATATGTAAAGGTAAATTATTTAGTGTGGGAATGATTTTGGATATCAATTAAGGTCACTAGATGTAACACCCCGAAAATTAGTAGGCTAAACTAGAGCTTGACGTTAAGGTTAGAGTCTTGAATGTACCTACCCGTACTTTAAAATAAATGTTTTTATGTTAGAACGTCAAGGTTCAAACCCCAAGGACTAACCATGGTTCCTTGAAGAGGACCTAAGGAGGCTACCTATGCAGTGACCCACGAGGGAAACTCACACCCCGTAGGTCCACCTATGCCTCGTGGGTGATGGGCCGTAGGTCAAGGCCCCAGGAGCCAAGTCCCAAAACCCCAAACCACATTCACCAGCACGGGCCGTGGATCCAACTACGATCCGTCAGTGGTGGGGCGTGGGTGAGGCCTGGAACTGCTATTTGGCAGTTATGTTTAGGGGCATTATGGGGTTTTCCGATTTTAAGTAATATTAAGTGACGTCGTTTTATACTAAATTAGAACACCTATACAAGGATTTTATTACACTAAATTAAGTCATCCAAGCCATTATTTCAAAAAATCCCCAAAGAACTCATCCTCTCCAAAAATTCTCTCTAAAACTTCAAGGAAGAAGAAGAAGGAAGTTAAAGCTAGGGTTTGAAGGAGCAAGGTTTCCACTCAATATAATTGGAGATTCATAAATAAGGTATGGTAGTCCTTCATCCATGAATAGTTTCATCCATGGAGTCCCTCCAAACTCAATTTCAAAACTATATTTCCCCAAAAGTTAGGGTTTTACTCCAAGTCATGAATTCCTTTCAAAAAATGATTCTAATGATTTAATTACTCTATATTATGATTTAATTGATGATTTATCAGTCTTTTTATGTTGATATCCCCAAGTATCCATGAAACCCCCATATTCCCAACTTATGACCTTGTGATGTGGGTGAATTGATGAACGAAGGATATTATGAGGTTATGGTTGTAGTATTTGAGTTATTTGAATAATGTTATTATCCATGTCTAATGTAGTAATTCTAGATGTGTTAATTTGACATGAGCTTTGACCTTTGAAAAGGCAAGATATGATATAATTCATGAATTATGAAGGTTATGTACATGCTTTAAGAACACTTTGAGAGGGAAGTGTCCATGATTATGATAATGTTGTTGTGTTGATGGAAAGTCTATTATCATGAACACATAATGAACATAATGTGAAAGATTTTCTCATAATATAATTATTCTAAGGTTGAAAGGCAATTCTCACCTAATTGAATCTAATGTTACATGAAGACATGGACGATGAAAGGCTACTCTCACGCATGATCTATTGAGCTATTCTAATGAAGCAAGTTATGACATAATAAGTACTGCATGGGATAAATGCTTAGCACAGAGTGGATACTGTTATGAGATGGAAGCTTCCCCATTAGCAAGGGTGGATTTCTAGAAGTAATCTCTTGAGATGGAAGCTCCCCTGTTAGAAAGGGAGGGTTTCTGGTAGCAATCTCCTTATCCCATAAATTATGTTCCCCTATAGGTCTTTAGCTAGTGGATCCACCTAAAAAGCTAACAAACCATGGTCTTATCTTAGGCAAGTAGGACACCCTTTTCGGTGTGGGTAACACCGGATTCCATGTTTAGCTCCCTTGGTCTATGTCGGTTAAGGCTTATTTCCACTATGATAATGATATGAACAAGAACATGAATTATGAACTATGGTTACTCAAGAAGCTATACTTAGCATGAGTGGGATTATGAGATCTTATTCATGCATTGCACAAGTAGACTTTGAGGGTACTTATGGTATGTTTCTTCTATGATATGATGATCTATGTAATGAACATGTTTATAACTTATGCTTTTCCTTTTCCTTCAAAATGATGCTTTAACTTAGTAAATTGCATGCTTTCAACTAAAATGTCCCTTTTAGCATGTTTTCATGATTTTATGCATGGCTATCATACTTGGTGCATTTTGTACTAAACCACATTTTCCTACATTTTCCCCAAGTATAGGGTTTGGTTCTCAAGGTGGTCCCCATTGTGGCTAGAGCTTAGATTTGAGCATTTCTCCTAGCTTGTTGGTGAGTCCTCATGATTCGAGGACGGATGCTATTTTTGTAGTTTCTTTCATTATATTTCTATTTTCAGACTTTGTTGTATGAGTTGTTTCCCTTCTCAGTGGAACTATTGTAATATATGGCTATATTGAGACAAGTCTAATAGACTTCCGCTTTCCTTTAAGAAAATTTTGGAGTTGAAATGCATTTTATTCTCTTTATTGTTCTATGCCTATGTTATGATATGCTAGGTGGCTTACATGGTACCTTTCGGGGTTCGATGTGCCTTGTTACATCTAGGGGGTACCCTTGGGTCGTGACAAACTTGGTATTTAGAGCACGAGGTTTCGAATGATTCTAGGATGATGTCTCATAAGCCACGTCTAGTAGAGTCTTGTTCATAAGTGTGAAGCGCACCAGATTTATGAATGAGAGGCAATAAGATGTTTAGGAAACTACACTTCTTTCATTAATCTTAAGTCGTGCCTTAGAGTTTAACTCTATAATTCCTTTTCTAATCCTTCTCCTGTGTCTTCAGGATATGAATACATGAAGGGCTAACGCAAGAAGAATGAAGGGTGACAATGTGAATGAAGAAGTTCCTCAAGCTAATAAAGCTCCGATTAATCCTTCAGCTATGTCGGATGTGGAGGTTAGGTCAGATTTCCAAATGTTGGCCCAAGCCATGACGACTCAAGTTCAATCTGTGATAACTCAAGCCCAAGCCATGATGGCCCAAGCCATGATGGCCCAAGCCAATTGAAAGGTTGTAGCTCTGGTGAACCCTAATGTGAATTCCACTGCTTCTAGAGCGTAGGATTTTGCTAGAATGAACCCCTCTGAGTTTCATGGCTCCAAAGTGGAAAAGGATCCTAAAGAATTTGTGGAAGAGGTTTATAAAGTACTTGATATCATGGGGGTGACTTCGGTAGAGAAAGAAGAGTTAGCCGCTTATCAATTGAAAGGTGTTGCTCAAGGATGGTATAATCAATTGAAGAATGGTAGGCCGGTAGGAGCGGGTCCCGTAGAGGGGGAAACATTTAAATCGGCGTTCCTTAATAGGTTCTTTCCTCGAGAGTTGAGGGAAACTAAGGTGGAAGAGTTCATTAACCTTCGTCAAGGAGGTATGAGTATGAAAGAGTATTCTCTAAAGTTTACTCAATTGTCCAAGTATGCTCCGGCTATGGTGGTGGATTCAAGGGATATGATGAGTAGGTATTTGACGGGCGTGTCCAAATTGGTAAGAAAAGAATGCCGTACGACAATGCTCCATCATGATATGGATATCTCACGTCTTATGGTGTATGCCCAACAAATGAAGGATGAGAAACTCTAAGAAAATAATAGGGAGGTGAAAAGAGCAAGGACTGATGATGGGAACTTCTCCAATCCTATGTCCAATGGACAAGGTCAACCAAGGTTCAAACAAAGGTTCTCCAACCAAGGTTCCTCAAATGCTTCCCCAACGGTCAATAAGGATAGGGTGTCTAACCCTAAACCTCAAGGAGACAATGGTGGTGGATCTTCTATGTCTAGGCCTAATTGTGCTAAGTGCGGTAAGAAACATGATGATGAGTGCCTAACCGGCTCGAATATTTGTTTTGGTTGTGGTAAGAGTGATCATTAATTGATTAATTGCCCAACACTTTCGGTTAAGGTAAAAGAGGGAAAGCAAGCTCCTCCTAGTGGTTCAAACTCCAATGCTTCAAAGCAAAACCACTTTTATGCTCTTCAATCCCGAGGTGCTCAAGAGAGCTCCCAGATGTGTTGACCGATATGTTAAAATTCTTTTCTATTGATGTATATGCCTTGTTAGATCTCGGTGCTACTTTGTCCTTTGTGACACCTTTTGTGGCCATTAAGTTTGAAAGACTCCCCGAAGTGTTAGTAGAACCTTTTTCGGTCTCTACACCGGTTGGTGATTCTGTGGTGGCTAGGAGGGTTTATAGAAGTTGTCCCATTTCCTTGTCCCATAGAGTTACTTGGGTGGATTTGGTGGAGTTAGACATGTTAGACTTTGATGTAATTCTGAGTATGGATTGGTTGCATACATGTTATGCCTCTGTCGATTGTAGGAATCGAGTGGTTAGGTTCCAATTTCCAAATGAGCCTATCTTATAGTGGAAGGGGGGGAAATTCTATGCCTAGAGGTCAATTTGTCTCTTGCCTTAAAGCTAGGAAGATGATCCCCAAAGGGTGTATTTACCATCTTGTTAGGGTGAGGGATGTTGAATCCAAAACCCGTTCTCTAGAGTCTGTTCCAGTAGTGAATGAGTTCCCAAAAGTTTTCCCCGATGATTTTCCCGGTATTCCTCCCGAGCGGGAAATAGATTTTGGTATTGACCTTTTAGCAAATACACAACCTATCTCTATTCCTCCTTATAGAATGGCTCCGGGCGAATTTACAAAGTTGAAAGAGCAACTAAAGGATTATTAGATAAGGGTTTCATCCGACCGAGTATCTCTCCATGGGGTGCTTCGGTGTTGTTTGATAGAAAGAAGGATGGGTCTCTTAGAATGTGCATCGATTATCGTCAATTGAATAAAGTGACCATCAAGAATAAGTATTCTCTCCCAAGGATAGAGGACTTGTTTGACCAGCTTCAAGGGGCTAGCTATTTCTCTAAGATTGATCTTCGTTCAGGTTATCACCAATTGAGGGTGAGAGGGGTTGATATTCCCAAGATGGATTTCCGAACCGGTATGGTCACTATGAATTTGTGGTTATGTCATCTAGGTTGACAAATACTCTGGCGGCATTTATGGACTTGATGAATAGAGTGTTTAGTCTATACCTAGACATGTTTTGTGATTGTGTTTATCGATGATATTTTGAACTATTCAAGAAGTGAGAATGAACATGTGGACCATTTGAGAATTGTGTTACAAGTTCTTAAGGACCAACAACTTTTTGCTAAGTTTAGCAAGTGTAAATTTTGGTTAAGGTCCATGGCTTTCCTTGGTCATATTGTGTCAAGTGAGGGTATTGAGGTAGATCCTAAGAATACGGACGTGGTGAAGAGTTGGCCTAGACCTCTAACTCCTTCTTACATTAAAAGCTTTTTGAGTTTGGCCGGTTACTATAGGAGGTTTGTTGAGGGGTTTTCCTCCATTGCTTCTCCGTTGACGGCCTTGACTCAAAAGAAGGCTAAGTTTGAGTGGTCGGAGGCTTGTGAGAAAATCTTCAAAGATTTGAAAGATAGACTTACATCCGCTCTGGTGTTGACCTTACATGAAGGTGCAAATAGTTTTTTAGTATATTGTGATGCCTTTAGAGTGGGGTTGAGATGTGTTCTCATGCAAAACGGTAGAGTGATTGCCTATGCTTCAAGGCAACTTAAAGTCCATGAGAAGAATTATCCTACCCATGACCTTGAGTTGGCGGTGGTTGTTTTTGCCTTAAAAATATGGAGGCATTATCTATATGGGGTGCATGTTGATGTGTTTACCAATCACAAGAGCTTACAATATGTGTTTAGTCAAAAAGACTTGAATCTTCGTCGCGAAGGTGGTTAGAATTATTGAAGGAATATGACATGAGTGTCCTTTATTACCCTGATAAAGCTAATGTTGTAGCGGATGCACTTAGTAGATTGTCCATGGGTAGTGTGGCTCATGTAGAGGATGAAAAGAAAGAATTGGTTCGTGAGGTGCATAGATTGGCCTGACTAGGTGTCCAACTAGACGATTCCACCAAGGGTGGTTTCATGGTCCATAATAGCTCCGAATCTTCCTTTGTGATGGATGTGAAGTCTAAACAAGATCTTGATCCTATATTAGTTGAGTTGAAAGAGTCTATACTCAAGAAGTCCATTCAGGCTTTCTTCCAAGGGGGAGATGGGGTGCTTAGGTACCAAAGTCGATTATGTGTTTCGGATGTTGATGGTTTGAGGGAATTATTTTTAGAAGAAGCTCATAGTTCTAGGTATTCTATTCATCCGGGAGCCACCAAGATGTACCGTGATCTACGGGAAGTCTATTGGTGGAATGTTATGAAGAGAGATATTGCAGGATTTGTAGCCATATGTGCTAATTGCCAACAAGTTAAGGTAGAGCATCAAAGGCCGAGAGGCTTATCCCAAGATATACCAATTCCCACCTGGAAGTGGGAAGAGGTGAATATGGATTTTATTGTGGTTTTGCCTCGCACTTGAAGGCAACATGATTCTATTTGGGTCATTATAGATCGAATGACAAAATCAGCCCACTTTATTCCCGTCAAGGTTTCTCATTCGGCGGAAGACTATGCCAAGTTGTATATAAGAGAGATAGTGAAGTTGCATGGGGTCTCTTTTTCTATTATTTCGTATCGGGGAACTCAATTTACTTCACACTTTTGGAAGTCATTCCAAAAAGAGCTAGGTACTAAGGTTAAGCTTAGCACGTCTTTTCATCCCCAAACAGATGGGCAAGCAAAGCATACCATCCGAACCTTGGAAGATATGTTAAGGGCATGTGTTATAGACTTTAAGGGTAATTGGGATGAACACTTGCCTTTAATAGAATTTCCCTACATTAATAGTTATCACTCAAGTATCGGCATGGCTACTTTTGAAGCCTTGTATGGTAGGAGATGTAGGTCTCCGGTCAGTTGGTTTGATATGGGTGAAATTGTTTTGATAGGTCCCGAGCTAGTTTATGAAGCCATTGAGAAAGTTTGGCTTATTAGAGAGAGGTCGAGAATGGCTCAAAGTAGGCAAAAGTCTTATGCCGATGTGAGAAGAAGTGATCTAGAATTTGAAGTTAATGATTTGGTCTATCTAAAAAATATCACCTATGAAAGGTGTGATGAGGTTTGGCAAGAAGGGGAAACTTAGTCCCCGGTAAGTGGACCCATACCAAATTTTGAAACATATTGGGAAAGTTGCCAATGAGTTGGATTTGCCAAATGAGTTGGCTCCGATTCATATGATATTTCATGTTTCTATTCTTAAGAAATGTATTGGAGATCCGGTATCCATTATTCCCCTAGAAGGGTTGGGAGTTGACGAAAATCTTTAATATGAAGAGGTTCCGATAGAGATTCTAGACCGGAAAGTCAAGAGATTGAGATATAAGGAAATAGCTTCCGTAAAGGTTTTATGGAGGAATCACTTAGTTGAGGGTGCTACTTGGGAGGCCGAGACCGACATGAAGTCCCGGTATCTTCATCTCTTTCCTTCTATTCCTATTCAAGCTTGAGGTAAGTAGTTCCTCTTGAGTTTTCCTTGTTTTGGGAGTCATGTGTTGTATGTGTTTTCCATGATTTCCTTATGTTATGCATATTCTTGAGAAATTCTTGTTTAGTAAGAAAATGAGTTTTTATGATGATTTTCCTCATGTTGTTGTGCATAGAGTATGAGTTGCCTATTGACTTCATGAGATGAATTGATGAACATGCTTTAGTATGCTTTTGAGTGTAATTTCATAATGGCTCCATGATATTGTGTTGAGCATGCTTTTAGTTGGAGAAGGTAGTTCCTCCTATGAATATGTGAAATGTTGAATTTTCATGCATAATGGGTTGTTAGATGTAGTTCTTACTTCCTTATGTTGCATTGGTTATGTTGGAGATAAAGTTGAAGTTTCCTCCTTTAAATTGCATATTATTTTGATGTTTCATGCATGATGGGCTGCTAGTCTTGAGTCTTTAATTCCGTAAGGTGTCTAGATCATCATTCGAGGATGAATGATCCGAAGGGGGAGATATTGTAACACCCCAGAAACTAGTAGGCTAAACTAGAGCTTGACGTTAGGGTTAGAGTCTTGAATGTACCTCCCCATACTTTAAAATAAATGTTTTCATGTTAGAACGTCAAGGTTCAAACCCCAAGGACCAACCATGGGTCCTTGAGGAGGACCCTAAAGAGGCTACCTGGGCAGTGACCAACGAGGGCAACTCACTCCCTTTAGGTCCACCCATGCCTCGTGGGTGAGGGGAAGTAGGTCAAAGCCCCAGGAACCAAGTCCCAGAACCCCAAATCACGTTCACCAGCATGGGTCGTGGGTCCAACCATGGTCCGTCAGTGGTGGGGCGTGGGTGAGGACTGGAACTGCTTTTTGGCAGTTATGTTTAGGGGCATTATGGCGTTTTCCGGTTTTAAGTAATATTAAGTGACGTAAGTTTATACTAAATTAGAACACC